TACCAAATTGAGTTTTCATCAACTGGGTAAGATTAATTTCGTCTTTACAATTGTCCAAGTTGAAGAATCTCAAAGACCCACTTCCAATTTCTCAAAAGCGAAAAACTTCAATTCTTCAAAGCTAAGGAAAACTAGAGAAAACTTGTCTCTCAGTTTAAAACTCTCCAAATTCTGTTTTAAAGAGTAATTGATTTTGAATATTGATTGATACTAAACTAAATGTTCAAAAATGTATTTATAGTCGCTAAAAATATGCTGATAAGAGCCACTCGACGCAGTAAGTCGAGCTCGCCGATCCACTCGGCAATCCTCCCTTTGGTCAATTCCATCGCCCTTCTACCTTGGCCTTCAGAATCCTCAAGGTCTATAACTTTGGGCAATCAAAAACTGCATCGCGGAACCACACGGCGATCCTCCGACTGCTCTTTTCTCTTGCCAACTTGGTTCTTTCCTTCAAGGTTTGGCACATTGGAACTTTAGGTGGTCAAGCAATAGTTCGGCGACTCGCCAAGTGGACTTGGCGATCACCAGGCTTGATTTTCTTCATTCTTTTAGCTCACTTCGTTCCTTTTTGCACATTAGTGTCCTTGCTTTTTCCTCAATCCATATACATGAAAATCAAGGATTTTACATCAGTTATTGGCACAAAACAAGCATTTAAGGACACTAAATCTATACAAATAAAGCCCTAAATGAGTCCAAATCTCAGACTCATCATGGTGTCCGATGTGTACGCCCCATCGAGAGGACCCAATATACCCTACCAGAGGTATAGAGATATGCTAGCGTGATCACTAAAATGATGCCCACGGAGGGGACTTACAACCTACGGGGCACGTAGTTCTGAGACTTAAGGGTGACTGACCCTAGTCCGCTTGGTATTAAGCTTCTCCCAATTGATTAAGTAATTAACACGTTATGACTGAAGTTCTATAATACTGGATAGCTCAAAATACTGACATGCTCACTGAAAATGCAACATTTATATACTGATAATGAACATTAATCTGAGGCATGTATAACTGAAATATCTGACCTAGCATGTGTAATTCATGAACTAAAAGAACTACATAGCTAGGGTTCTGAATTTAAGAAGGTATCTACGCAAAACCATACTAAAATCATGATAATATGATTAGGAACATTAAACCAACTAATTCATAATGATCTACTGAAATTCTAGAAACCCTAAGTCTAGATAATATTAAGGAAATCAAGAATCTGACTGAATTCTAGGGACCTAATGGGAGAAAGGAACCCACTAGTGAAATCCCACATACCTGGTGACTAATTCCACAGAGAAATCTTTCGATTTTGGGGATGGAACTGATGGAACCTTGTTGTGTTCTTGAACTAGGGTTCTTGACTTCTTTCTCCTCTCTACGTCCTAATTTTCTAAGTTTTGGTGAATAATTTGACTTAAGTAAGTTCTAGTTTGTTTACTAGGCTAAAACTAACCAAAACTACGTAGTTTAGGGGTTAAACGACGTAGTTTAGGGGTCCAACGCATAAGGAAAAGACTTATAGACCCCTGACTTAAAAGTTGTTGGGATCACCGACGGACCGTGGACCGACCGACGGTCCGTGCAGGTCAACCGTCAATCAATAACTGGGACTGGAATTTGGGGGTCTAACCTACGGCCTTGGACCACGGGTCGTGGCCTGACCTACGGTCCGTAGGTCCTGGCGTGGGTCAGGACTTAGATTATTTTTTTGGGCCTTTCTGGGGAGGGTTGCAGATAGTGATCCACGGACCACCTGAACGGACCAAGGGTCGCCCTACGGTCTGTGGGTGGCAACCGTGGGTTGCACCTGCAACTTCTGAAAATCTACATTTTGGTCTGTTTTTAGGTACGAGGTGTTACACTCTTTGAACCAGCACCTATGACGTTCTTAGCCAAGATATCCAGTTGTGTCATCATTTTAGCCATATTCTGGTCTCTCTCTTGATCTTTTTCTATCTGTTCTTTTGTCAATTTATACGTGAGAGGAGAGACTTGGTCTTCTCGAGTGTACCATGCCCTGTTTATCTTGGCCATGCAATCAAGGAGTTGGTAAGCTATTACGTAGGGCTGTTGCAATAAACCACCCGGAGAAAGTTGGTCAGCCACTCCCTTCTTCACCAAATCAAGGCTTCTATAGAAGTATTGTAGCAGTACATTATCGAGAAATCCATGAGTTGGGCACTGAAGCACCAACTTCTTAAACCTTAGCTAAGTCTCATGGATTGGCTCACCCTCCAAGCACTTAAAGCTTTGGATGTTATCCCTAAGAGTCATCATCTTCAAAGGGGGAAAGAATCGCACTTGGAATGCAGTAATAAGCTTGTCCCACGAAATGATAGAATCTCTTGGAAACTCAGCCAACCACTTGTTTACCTCGACCATCGGAGAAAATGGGAACAACCTCAACTGGACCGATTTTTGAGATATGTTCTTAAATGAGAACGGTCCACAAACATCAATAAAATTTCTGATATGCTCATGGGGATCCTCATAAGCAAGCCCTCCAAACAAACCCTTCAGTTGAAGGAGCTGAATTATAGTGCTTGTGATGTGAAACACAGTGTTCCCTTCAGCTGGAGGCAAACGAATGGCCCCAACACCACCAATTTGGGTTGGGTTTGAGTCATTGACATCGTTGAGGTTTCCGATATCATCTTGGTGGCCCACTTGGCTACCATTACTTCCATTAACACTCATTTCCTCCTATGTTATAACAAGTGACACAAAACCAAAAATAAAAGTAAGTAGATTCAACTATAACTAAAAAGAACACAATTCAACTTCACCAAAAGAATTTCAAACAACACCACTCCCCGGCAGCGACGCCATTTTGATTTAACGTCTCAAGCACACTTCTTCCAATTCTAAGTGTCAACGATCGTAAATCAGTATAAAACCCAACTAAGTGAGTTGTTGTCGAATCCCACAGAGAGTGGTACGTGTTTTAAATTCAATTAAGAAGTATGAATGCGGTCTAATCAGCCATAGGAATAAACATTATCGGAAAAAGACATATCAAATTAAAGGGGTGACACAATGTCAGATGGGGGGTTTTAGTTTGTAATTATCAACTACACAGCAGTCGCAAACAATTCGAAATAACAATAGGGGAAAAGATTCTCGGGATGTGATCGATTATAGGCGAATATAGATATATGGGTCATTGAAACTACTAGTAAACAACTAAATATCAGTGAGTAGGCTAGACTATAAGGGAGATATCTTTCTCTCGAACAACTACCCCGAATTAAGTGATTTCTTTCGAACATCAACAAGCATGACAATGAAGAACAACTCACACCTTAATACATCCACTCTTTCAAGCTAGATGGGTAGGATTGAGTTTAGGATTCACTCTCTCGAGCTAAACCCGTAACTCAATACCCACAAATCATTAACAATAATCTTAGTTCTAAAACTTCTCTCTCGAGCAAGCCAAGAACACAAAGATAGAACTGCATTTGCAACTACAATTCATAAATTAATCCTCAATTAATGATTAAACTCACTTCAATATAGCATTTAAAGTAGTAATTAACAGTACTCATAAACTAATTCAACCCATAATCACATGATCACACCCCAAGAATTGAGGTTTTAGCTGAACATCATAAAAAGAAAAAAACCTTTACCAAATCGATTAGCCATCAACTGGGTAAGAGGAATTCAAGCTTTACAATGCTCCAATTCGAAGAAAATTTGAAACCCACTTGCAAAATCTCCAAATTTAGTCTCAAAACCTTCAAGTCTACTTAGAAACTTCATAGAAAACTGTTCTAGACTAAAATGGATTAAAATTCGATACTAAATTAATGTTCAAAAACTAATTTCTAGTCGCCAAAAATAAGACACGAAGGACCACTCGACGAAGTAAGTCGGGCTTGTTAAAGATCGAGATAAGATCAGTTAGATATAATTATTAGTTACTAGTGATAATCTTAGATATAGAGTCCATGTTAAAGTATAACTCTATCTCTAGATAGTTGTCTTGTATTAGGAGTATTACTCTCTATGCTCTGCACGACTTGTAAGTGTATAAATACACTATGATGTACTCTGTATTTCATTATCAGCAAATACAAAAGCATTACGCTATACATTAGCCTTAGATTTCTCAGGGCTAACCGAACCACTCGGCAAGCCACCCTTTGACCTCTTCCATCGCCTTTTTTGCCTTAGCATTCAGCATCCTCGAGGTCTGTAACTTTGGGCGATCTATCTTTGCTTTTTAGAAGCCAAATGGCATCAGCCTCCAACACACTCTCAACCTCCTCACTTCACCATCTCATTGCTTCAGTCTCAATTAAACTCAAGCCCTCAAATTACCTGATATGGAGGACTCAAATGTTGCAGCTTATCCAAGTCATGAGACTAACATATCTCATTCGGGATGAACCAAAAACAATTATCACTGAAGAAGACACTTCTAGCAGTGACAAAAACAGTGGCAAAACCAGTGATAAAGGCAGTGAAAATGATGATAGGGAGGAGAAGGACGTGTTGCTGAGAATTTGGATCTCTGGTACACTATCAGAGGAAACCATGTACCTCATTGTAGGCTACAATACTGCAAAAGAGATGTGGGAAACCTTGAAGGAAACTTACCTTCAAGCTACCAAGGACAAAGAATTCCAATTGAAGCAACAACTTCAAACTATCAGGCTTGGAAACAAGTCTACAGATGAATTCTTGAAAGAATTCAAGGGCATATGTGATGGTTTAGCAGCCATACACAAGCCAGTAGATGAGGATAGCAAGGTGATAAATTTTGCCAGAGGACTAGGTCCTAAGTATAAAACCTTCAGGACTGTCATGCTTGGCAAACCACCTTATCCAACTTTGAACCAACTGATCAATGCATTGAGAGGCTTTGATCTCAGGGAAGATGATGGAGAAGAATCACAACATGTTAACCATAACACAGCCTTCACTGCTCAACAGGTAAATCAAAACAGGTCCAACAACTATAGGGGTAGAGGAAACTCCTATTCAAAGAGAGGAAATATGAACTACAACTCAAGAGGCAGGGGTTTTAGACCATCTGGACAAAGCACACATCAAGCTGCTCAAGGACAAGGCACTGAAAATCCCTCCAGGGAGAAGGAAGAAGTTGTTGCTTGTCAAATTTGTGGTAGGAACAACCACACCGCACTCAAATGCTTCTACAGGTGGGATTTCTCATACCAAGCATCAGAGGACTTGCCCCGAGCCTTAGCATCTGTTAATCTGAATGATCCTAACATTGGAGATAATGCAGTCTATGTGGACTCAGGAGCAAGTACTCACATGACAAATTCTTCAGGTAAGCTATCTAATCTAAAACCTTATAAAGGTACCGATAAGATTGTAGTAGGAAATGGAAGTGAACTTAATATCACTCACATAGGCAGTGGAAGTATATCTGGTTTAAAACTAAATAAGGTCCTTGTTGTTCCTGAACTTAAGAAGAAACTCTTGTCAGTAAGTAAGCTAACTAAGGATAATTACTGTACAATTGAGTTTGACGAATCAACTTTTGATGTAAAGGACAAGGTAACAGGGAAGCAGCTGGCCAAGGGATCTAGAAGGGGAGGTATCTATGCCTTGGAAGACAACAATCTGCTAGCATTGGCAACAACACAGACAAGAAGGAGTAGTTTAAGTTCTAGATTTAGTTCTAGTGATGTTTGGCATGCCAGACTTGGGCACCCAAACTCTAAATTTTTAGAAGTTTTAGACAAAAATAAGTGTATCAATATCACTTGTTGGAATAAAAATCCTACTGTTTGTGTTAGTTGTCAAATGGGAAAAGGTTGTAAATTGCCTTTTAATTTGAGAAATAAAACTGAGAAAGAACCATTGCTGAAAATACATTGTGATTTGTGGGGTCCTGCACCAGTTGAGTCTTCACAACACATGAAATTCTATGCATTGTTTTTGGATGATCATAGTAGATACACTTGGCTATATCCATTGAGAAGGAAATCAGATTTCTTTGAAGTGTTTGTTAAGTTCCAAAAAATGGTTGAAAAACAGTTTACTAAAAGCATTAAGGTATTCCAATGTGATGGAGGTGGTGAGTTCTCTAGCTCAAAGTTCATTAACCACTTGGAAAATTGTGGTATTGTTAGGCATATATCCTGTCCAAATACACCTGAGCAGAATGGTATTGCTGAAAGGAAACATAGGCATGTAGTAGAGACTGGTTTAACATTGTTGTTTCACGCTAAACTGCCTTTATTTATGTGGACGGAAGCCTTCCTTACAGCTGTGTTTCTTATAAACAGGCTACCATCTTCAGTACTTAAGGACACACCTTTCCATAAGCTCCATGGAACACATCCTGATTACAATAGCTTAAAGGTGTTTGGGTGCAGGTGTTTTCCCTACATCAAAGGAAGCAACAAGTTTTCACCAAAGACATATCCATGTGTGTTCATTGGATACAGTAGCCTTCACAAAGGATACAGATGCTATTATCCATCCACAAAAAGGGTATTTATATCAAGACATGTTGTCTTTGATGAACTAACTCTTCCTTATGTGCAGGGAAACAACAATGAAAGTGATTCTGCAGGTTCCATTCATCTCGCCACATTCTCTGAATTTTTCTCAGAATCAAAGACCACAATTGATGACGTGCCAAGGCAAGAGTCTGACTCATCTGAGCATCTTCCTGCTGATATATTGCTAGATGAACTAGCACCTGAAGAACCTCAACAATATACCGAGGAATTGTCACCATCTACATCTCCCGCATCACTTGAGAACTCACCTAATGATTCTCCTAATGAGGCACAAGATGCTGCAATGATGCAAACACAACTATATGAGGATGAGCAGCAGCCCCAAGAATTCAGCATTGTAGATCGAAGGGGACTTCAATTTGAGGATGATCTATCTAAACTCTTTACTGATCAATTCCAACCTCAATTACAGGCTCCATCTCAACCATCGACATCAGAACATGTCATGATAACCAGGTCAAAAGCTAAAAACTTATCTCATAGTTCATTATTTGCAACTAGGAAAAGCACTGCACTTAGTGAACCTACGTCCCTTAAAGAAGCACTTAGCATTCCACACTGGGTAGCAGCTATGAATGAGGAGTTGCAAGCACTGCATGAAAATGAGACCTGGATTCTGGTTCCCAGAACTACTAAGATGAATGTAGTAGGATCCAAATGGGTGTTTAAGACCAAAATGAAGTCAGATGGTTCAATTGAAAGACATAAGGCGAGATTAGTTGCAAAGGGCTACTCACAGCATGAAGGAGTAGATTTTGAAGAAACCTTTAGCCCTGTTGTGAAAGCAACTACTATAAGAGTTGTTCTATCTCTTGCAGTCACACAACATTGGTTTATTAGACAACTTGATGTTAAAAATGCATTCCTCCATGGATATCTTGCAGAAGAAGTGTACATGAGTCAACCACCAGGATTTGTTGATCCAAACTATCCGAGCCATGTCTGCCAGTTGAAAAAGGCACTGTATGGTCTCAAACAGGCTCCTAGAGCCTGGTTTGAAAGGTTTAGCTTGTATCTGCTCCACATTGGCTTCAAGTGCAGCAGAGCTGATTCATCTCTGTTCAATCTTCATAGTCCAGCAGGAACAATACTACTGTTGTTATATGTAGATGACATAATTGTGACAGGCAACAACTCAAAGCAAATGGATGAAGTTGTGAAGAAATTGAGCATTGAATTTTCCATGAAGGACCTTGGACAACTAAGTTTCTTCCTAGGTGTTGAAGTTACCTATTTTCCAGATGGAATTCACTTGTCTCAAAGCAAATATGCTACTGATTTGCTCAAGAAAGTGGACATGGAAGATGCAAAGGAAGTGCCTACTCCCTTAGTACAGAAGCATGGCTTACAGGAAGCTATTGGAACTCCAGTTGATTCCTCAGTATATAGGAGCATTGTAGGAAGCTTACAATACTTGACACTAACCAGTCCAGATATAACTCACGATATCAGTATATAGGAGCATTGTAGGAAGCTAACAATACTTGACACTAACCAGACCAGATATAACTCACGCTGTGAACCTTGCAAGTTAGTTCATGCAGAATCCAAATTTTGTGCACTGTAAAGAGAATACTCAGATATGTAAAGGGAACTATTACTCATGGTTTGTGTATTACTTCTCAGTCCTCGCTCAGGTTGTATGGTTTCTCGGATGCTGACTGGGCAGGATGTGCAACAACAAGAAGATCCACCACTGGTTACATCATATATCTTGGTGCAAATTGTGTGTCCTGGTCCTCTCGAAAACAGAACACAGTTGCAAGGTCAAGTGCAGAAGCTGAGTATAGAGCCTTAGCTGCTACAGCTGCTGAGCTCACATGGCTGACTTACATTCTGCAAGATATTGGAATATATATTAAGTCTGCTCCTACACTGTTTTGTGACAATATGAGTGCACTGTACATGACCACAAATCCAGTATTACATGCTAGAACCAAACATGTAGAATTGGATTATCATTTTGTTAGAGAAAAAGTAGCTCAAGGGCAGTTAATCACTCAATTTGTTCGATCCAGGGATCAACTAGCGGACATTCACACGAAGGCACTGGCAAAGGACCAATTCCTGTTCTTCAGAGACAAGCTAAGAGTAGTAAACTCACCTCCAATTAGCTTGAGGGGAAGTGTTAAAGATCGAGATAAGATCAGTTAGATATAATTATTAGTTACTAGTGATAATCTTAGATATAGAGTCCATGTTAAAGTATAACTCTATCTCTAGATAGTTGTCTTGTATTAGGAGTATTACTCTCTATGCTCTGCACGACTTGTAAGTGTATAAATACACTATGATGTACTCTGTATTTCATTATCAGCAAATACAAAAGCATTACGCTATACATTAGCCTTAGATTTCTCAGGGCTAACCGAACCACTCGGCAAGCCACCCTTTGACCTCTTCCATCGCCTTTTTTGCCTTAGCATTCAGCATCCTCGAGGTCTGTAACTTTGGGCGATCTATCTTTGCTTTGCGGAACGACTCGGCGATTCGCCGATTGCTCCTTTTCGTTACCGACTTGGTTTCTTCCTTCAGGGCTTTGGCACACTGGAACTTTAGGCGGTCAGATGAGCCACTCGGCGACACGCCAAGTGCAATTGGCGATCTTCAGGCTCGCCCTTCTTCATTTCCTCAGCTTGTTTTGTTCTTTTTTTCCTATTAGTGTCCTTGCTTTGCTCCTCAATCCATATACCTGAAAATCAAGGCATTAAAATCAGTTTATAGCACAAATTAGGCATTTGAGGACACTAAATCTATCAAAACGCAGCCCTAAATGAGTCCAAATCTGGGACTCATCAATGGTCATTGGAAAGCAGTTAAACGAGTTCTCCGGTATCTCAAAGAAACTGCAAGTTCAGGACTTCGCATGCGGACTGGGTTGGTGATCCAAATGACAGAATTTCTACTTCAGGTCACATTTTTTTCTTTGGACCAAATCCAGTCAGTTGGTTGTCCAAAAAGCAACTTGTTGTGGCTCGCTCATCCACCGAGGCCGAGTACAAATCAGTCGACGATGCACTTGCAGAGCTTACTTGAGTGCGAAACTTACTTCATGAATTATATGTCACCAATCTGAAGACGCCAACCATCTACTATGACAATGTTGGAGTTACTTATGTATCTCACAACCCAGTGTTTCATACTCGTATGAAACATGTTGCTGTCGATTTTGCATATGTCTGTGACCAGGTTCAAGCTAATCGAGTTCAAGTTTCTCATACTCATGCTTGTGATCAACTTGTTGATACCTTCACCAAGCCACTGCCTAAATCAGCCTTTACTAGATGTAGTTCCAAGTTAGGTATTGTTACACCATGCCTAACTTGAGGGGGTGTGTTAACGTATCTTAAGTTTCAACTTGCTTTTGACCAAGTCATAGGATAGTATTTTATTTATCTTATTTACTGCTTTATTATACATTGACTAAATCTCCTGATGTGGAGCATATCTAGGAGTAGTTGCCTACAGTAGTGGCCTACAGTTTAGCTTAAGTTAGTTGTAGTTTATGTATTTAAGATGGCTGACAAATTTCATTAAGATCATCTTTTGACCTCCTTCTCATCACAATATTTATAAGTTGGAGGATGTGTGTTGATTATAGAGCCTTGAATCAGATCATAGTTAAAGAGAAAATCTATATATCAGTCATTGAGTAGTTGCTTGATGAGTTAGGAGGCTCTAAAATTTATTTCGAGATGACTTGAAATTTGGATATCATCAAATCAAAATGACTGTTGGACATATTTCTAAAATAGCATTCAAGACTCACTCCGGACACTTTGAATACTCAGTTGTGCCCATTGGCTAATTTATGTCATTCCGGTTTTGAGAACCTAATGAACTAATAATTTTCAATAACATTTGTGAAAGCTTATCTTGGTGTTTATTAATGACATTTTAGTCTATAGTAAATCGAAGATCGTGTGCAACATTGAGAACTACTTTTGACATTCTAAAGCAAAACAAGTTATTAGCCAAAAGGACCAAGGTCACATTTGTTTTCATTAAGATTAAGACGTCTGAATTTGAATGCACATCTGAATGATTAAGATGTTGTCTGTAGGAATGATTAAGACGGTTTGTTTTTAAGAGTAAATATTATAATT